GTATTTGGAAAATGTTAGCATTTATTTTTCTGAAATAGCATCTGATAGTTAAAGTGCCATATTTTTTCCAGGCTTCTTTCATTAGAGAGACTGATGACTATTACTACAAATATCCCACAGAGCATTCAGTTATGCTGGAAGGAGGGTGCAAATGACATGCCAGAAGCTATGCAAGAGAGATGATGCACATTATTCTCATTTTATGAGGTTGTAGATCTTGGGAAAAGCAGAGATTTATAATGCCACTCCCTCCAATAATTAAGAAAGTGTGTGTCTGATTTATGTATCTGTGGTGGGAAGCTGGAGTAATTGACTGAAAATATCACGGAAAACAATCTCTGTGTTAAAATGATCTGCCCTAAACTCCACATCTTCTACATCAGTCAGGAGATAAAAGTTTCTTCTAGAAATGGAAGTGTCTCTCTGTGCTTTGGTAGTCAGCTGTTGTTTTGTCTTTTGTTTACAGTGGTTTGAAGGGAGCTAAAAATACGTGTTGTATTCAGTGAGAAGCACCCCATAAGCCATCAGCATGATATTTTGTAAATCTTGCCTTCTGAATGAGAACAGAAACTGGGTCATGTTGCTTTACTTCAAACAAAGGGTTGGTGTGACTCAGCGGGTAAGGTAAGTGTAGTTTGCTGGTAGTTCCTAAACATCATTAAAATAACTTGATTTTAAGAAATAAGTCATTTTGTCTTTGGAGGAAGCCCTATTTTGATGACTCAGGAGCTGAGAACAGTGGCAGGTTTATGTTCCGTGTTGACTTGAAGTCAGGGACAACTGTGTGTTTGCAGATCTTGAGGGACAGTTTGCCAAGGCCAAGTTATTTTTCAAGATCTTTGACACCAGATCTTGTGATTTATTTTTTTTTCCCTTCAATTACAACTCAAGATTCAGTTTCAAATGACTCGACAGTGAAATCCTCCAAGTAATTTAAATGAAGTATATTTTTTGTATTTGTTGAGTTGCTTTCTTTGATAATTTGCCTTGTGCTTGTTTCAAGAGCACTAAAGGAAAACAAGCCCTCAGATTCTAGGGGAAATTAAAGATAAAATTCATCTGGTTTCAAGTAGAAGTGCAGGGACAGTAAGTTAATACTTCTTATTCTCATAACTGTTAATTAACACATCAGTCTGTGTTGTAGGATTGATGAGACCATCTCATCTGGTGATGTTTTCAATGGAAAAACAAGTCTTAAGGTTGTGGATTTTTTTCCTCAAGTCCTTTTCCATTTTCTCCAGCAAATTTTGGATTTGACTCTGATCTCACTTTTGGTTCTTTCAGACCAGGGAAACTCCACTGATGCTAAATAATAATATATTGTCTTAATACAGGGTTCAGTCAGAAAATTAAAAATGGAGCTGTTGTGTGTCTCATATTTCCCATTGTGTCCAGTGTAAGTATCAGGAGTGCAGATCTGGCTTTGCCTTCTTTTTATGCAACCTTACTCAACTTTTTATGAATTCTGACTTTCTAACAAATTTTCACAGGCTTCATTTCCTGATTCATAGTTCATGGGCATCAGTGATGGGATTCCCATTAATGGCAGTGCTAATCAAATATTAATTACTGCTAATCTAATAGCCTGACCTTAAAGGGTGCAAGTAACCAAGAATATTTTTATTGCTGTGCTTTTTTATTTCTCCAACAAGATAAAGGAAAAGAAACATCAAAAAGTTTTTGTTTGTTACCTACAAGAGAGCAGAGGGATTAAAACAGTGTGTATGGGTATCTCTATATATAGATATGAAAACACAGCACCTGAATAGTCAGTTCTTTCTAAAAGGAATTCAGTTTGTATGCTAATAACTTCTCGATGTGCTATTTATATTCTAAAGCAAAAATCTGTAGCTGGCAGATACAGATTATTATAGTGCATGTAAGTCTTTTAAAGCCAAGTAGGGTAATCTAATTAAAGTGAGGCAAGAAAAAATAAATGTTGCTTTGCAAGTTCATTTTCTTACATGCTTCTCTAGAGAAGGAAAGTATCAGTAAATATCTCTTAGATATGTGATATGACACTGTCAAGTTTTAAAGGATTTTTGGTTTTTTTATGGTTCTCCAGCATTGTTACTTTTTATTTCTACAAACTCCATCAAATTTTTTTACTGCTGTTACCTATATCTGTATTATTTATTTTCAATGAAGTGTTCTATTAATATTTTATCAGAGAAGGAAATACTTTGTGAATAGTATGTGAAAACCTATCTGCCTTGAAATACATTTAAATCATGCAGACATAGTGGTTTATCCGTACATAGGTGCCAGATGGCATAAGTTCTCAGGTATAGAATGCATTTACTGGGTGATCACAGCAAATTTCCCTCTTACTGTGACTAGCTCTGAGTTTCTCTCTCTCTGTCTTACCAGATGTGATCATCCACTGGGGAATGAAAAAAATTTAATGAAGTGGTCTCTAAAGATAATATTTTTATGATGATGTACTTGTGGAAGTACAGTTCTTCATTGTTATGAAGAATTTTCTTATCTTCCCCTAATCTCAATCTTTCACTTCAAATCTGTGCTCTCAATAAAGATGTTGCTGGGCTGTGCCAGAAAGAGAAACAGATTTGTTCATCTGGTAGCACACAGACAGTATTACCAGGTATTCAACACAGAACTGGGACTCTCAAACTCTTGTGTCGTTACAAATGAAGACAGACTTTTTCTTAATCACCTCTTTGTTTTCAGGACTGCTGTGTGTCTTTACAAAGTGTCAGAAGTAGCACGTTATTCCAAGTGAAGTTTGTATATAACCATGTCAAGTGTCTGTGTACTCTGTGTTTTGGGTATGGCAGGGAAGGAGCCTGGCTCCTCCGAGCCCCAGCAGGAGCAGCCCAGGTCTCCTCACAATCCTGTAAATGAGGAAAGCCAGCCGTTAGGAATGTTGGGCACAATGCAAAGTACTTCACAGTACTTACTTAACAGTAAGAAGTTTCTGTCACAGGATCCCAGGACAGCCATGCATGGAAGGATGAGACCTCCCAACAGCTTGGAACTGGGATTTATGGACACTTGCACACAGTTCTGGGTGTTAAACAAGGACACAGGGATTGGTGAGTACCTGTTTTGCTGCTTATGCCAAATTACTTGGAGGATTTTTGCTCTGGTGGTATTTTTTTCCCTCTTTCTGACTGAGATCCTTCTAAAGGTCGCAGGTGAGAGACCCCTTTTCTAAGCCTGTATTCTTGTGTGTCCTGAGACATCAGGAGCAAATTATCTGAGGCAGGGGAGTGAGCTGAAGGGAGACAGGAATGCTGTGCAAGTGGGATGAGGTTATTCCATGTTAGTCCTTTGAGAGAGAGAAAATACTAAGAAGGGTGGAGGGTTGTCAGTGCTGTACAAATGTGCATTTCTGGAAAAGAAGGAAAAGGCATCTCATTGAATAGTCTCATCTAAACATATCTGTCTCTTCTTTATTTGTTCTTCTTCTGTATTTTATATATGAGTCAAAAGTGTATTTGGACAGCTTGAATTAAATTCTGCTTTTTAGCTGGAGCAGTACAGCTAAATCCTTGTACATTATGAATTGGCACCGCTGCACTGAAATCAAGAAAGCTTTGTTGATTTACATCAGCTGTTGCATATGCTTTACTAGAAAAAAAGTGTAATGTGTGTTGTAGATGTCCAGATCCACATTTTTTTCAAGTCAGTTCTTTAGCCAGCTTCTTTGGGTGACTGAAATAACCTGCAAAGTACATTAAAAAAAATAATCCTATGAATTTAGAAGAATCTAGTCCTCCACGTGTCTCTAATTGGGCTATATGCTATTACCACAGTAATCCTAAGGAATGCTTCCCTCATATATATATATATTCTAAACATTATAATATTTAGTATAGCTCCTGTTTTGAGGAAGGATTATATGTGCCTAGTCTTGCCCAGAGAAACCACAGGATATGTATAAACAAGTGGTGTTTAAACTGAGGCTGAGACACAGAATCTGACCGTGGTGCTGATGGCACAAGGAGATGCAAACAAGGTTCACAGCCTTACAGGGTTTACCCACCAGGACAAAAGCATCACAGCAAACTGCTGCATTGATTGCATGCCAAAACCCACTCGGGGTCAGACCTGGAATTACCTGCCACAGTGCTGGTTTGGCCACAAGCTTGGAGGAGCAGACTTTGAGGAAAGCGTCTGAGAGAGCTAAATCTAAACCCTGAATCAGAACTGGGGGAAACCAGAAGCTGTTGGCCTGAAACAAAATGAATGTAATTGGTCTCATCTTGGGAGGAAGATCTGTTTTCACTGGCATGTTTTCTCCTCAAGTTGGCAAAGACCAGTATGTTCTGGTCAAAACTTGGAAGACCATAGACTGTCTGTGGGCTGTTGCCCATCTTTCATATGATCCACCTTCCATACCACAACAATTTTCTTGACAAGATAACAGGGTTGCAAAAAAGGATTTTTTTCTGTCATTAAAACAGTTCCACATTCCCTCCCCAGGCCTAGTTATCTCTTGGGCCAAGAAAGCTGCAGTTTGGGTGCATGGGGCCAGGCACACACTGCTTTTGGCTGCATTTGCCAGGATTTGGCATTTATATTTCTGTCTGATTCTTTGCCTCCAGTTGTAGCTTTTCCTATTCTTACATTTGCATGTGAAAGGTACTCTGTGTCTTTTGCTGGTATCCTGCACCTTAGGCAGTTTCATAATGGCCTTTAGAAGGTATAAAAGAGGCTTCTTGGCATGGTGGGTCATCCACACTGTGCTGCCAGGGCTGCACCTCCAGTGACAGCAGCACGGGAGGGCTTTGTGTCTTTATGTTTAGCCATAACTTCAGAGCATCATTGTTTCTCTGCTCCTAAGTGAAAGGGATGTGGGTTACAATGTTTTGGCACCCATTATGTCTTCTGAAAGATTCCCAAGGGTAAATGAAGTCAAGAGAAGGATGGGCTCCTGTGGAGAGGAACAGTGTGCAAAGTGTGGAGAAGGGGTGGAAGTGAAATGCTGGAGAAGGCTTAGGTTTAACATGACAGTGAGTTAAGAATTTGCAATTCCAACATCTCTCTGTTTCCCAGAGTGAAAGACTGGAAAGGAGAGGTTTAACTTTGCATTAAAGCAAAAGCTTTCTAGTGATCTACATCTGGGAGCAGGCATTGGTGGGAGAACAGGGCTCTGAGCCTTGCAGGCCAGGAGGAGCCTGCTGTGCCCACAGAGGTAGGAGAGGGTGCAGGACCAAATCCCTTATTGATAAGGGAGGGTCATCTGCTCCTCAGAATACAAACCAGAGGTGAATATTGGAAAAAAAGCAATCCAAAAGACTGCTGTTGGGGACCTTGTAAAATGAAGGTTAATCCTACTGTTGAACAGAAGTCCTTCTGGCAGGTTGCCTAAGTTGCCTCTTTTATCTGACAGTAGAACTGGCAGAGGAGGACAACTTAGGGGAGAATGAGAGTTTTGGGACAGTCCACCATGCCAAGGCACTGCAGAGCTTCATCCAGCTGATTCTATCTCTGTGAAAAGAAAGAGGAAAAAAGACTCATTTACCTAGAAGCTTGGAAAATACCTCACAGTTACTAGTCCTGCAAGAAAGAGGAGATCAGAATGGACAACTGGACTTTCAAAACTCTAGAAAAGTTTGGCTTGCATTTTGAGTAAGGTTTTCTTCTTATTTTAGCTTCACAATGTCCTTGATCCCTGTTTATTTTGGCCAGTTGCTAATTAGTAATGTGATTCTTGCCTGGGATGGTTTATATAAAGTATCCTGCATTCTTGAGTGCCCAAAACTCTCGCTGGCTTTAATGCAGGTTTGTGTTACAATTGCAATTCATGACTAGGTTTCCTTTTAGGCATCTATATTTAGTTTTCTAAGGGTCTGTTGAGGGAAAAGATTCTGCCCCAATAATACATCTCCAAGGAATGCTGGTTGTATGGAACTCTGTATTTATCAAACAACTCAGCACAGTGGCAGAGCAAATTAATGCTGGGTATAAATGCAGTTCTTGTAAAGTATATGTTTCACTAAGTACCAAGATTATATGTTGCATCTCTGTGCCCTCGTTTTATCTTGAATGTTACAATCATATCTGTTAGTTGTTGCATTTAGAAACTGGGGGGGGGGAAGTCACATATAACAATGGGTCTCGTGATTGTGTTAAGCCAGCCACAAAAATGAGATCTAGCTACAGATTAGAAATCAGGGAAAACTGCTTTTAAAATATAGTAATAAAAATGCCATTATAATTTGAATCAAATCAGAGCCCTACTCCAAAAGGGCTACATTTAAACTCTTGGGTTTTTCAGTCCTTATCTGTACAACGTGATTGCAGGCTGAAAATGGCAAATGCAATTCAATGTTAATTGTAGACAGATAAGGTAAGCTGGAACAATTAATTGGAGGTTATGCCTCTGTTGGAATATATATTTTTTATGTTATTATGAAAAGAAAAAAAAATGTGATTTGGTCTATACTTTTGCAGCCAAGTGACTTCTACAAGTACAAATGCACTCCCAGAATGACATGACATGATTTTTTCCTGTGCAGAACTGCTGCTGTAGATATAAGCACAATTAGCCAGGATCTGAACTACCTAAACAAATAGTTAATTTGTCTCTATTTACACCTTCTCTCCGAGTTTCAACTGCAGACCCAAGAATGCTGCCTCAAACTGGTACAAAGTACAGGTGCAAATTATTCTGCAAGTGAGAGTGCTGAGCTGAATGCAAATTTAACTAATAGAATAGTCTGCATCCATCATCTGGCTTTTTGTATGTTGCTTATTTTAGACTGCCATCTCTTCAGAGTGGGAAGAGATTAATACCAGTTAATATACTTTATTATTCTGTATTTCAGTGCGTACCTTAAAAGACCAGTAAAAAAGCCTGAAGGATCCAGGCAATAATATGATGCTATAACAACTGTTCTAGCGGCCCAACTACTTTATTTTCTGACATAGAACCCATGTTTGTCCCTGGAAGATAAGATCTGGGTTTAATTATGCCCTTGGACAACCCAGTAAGAGAAGAGATGTCAGAAAGGGGGGATACTTCAGGGAGCAAAATATTTGGGTGAACTTCCTCTTGTATATTTAGAGAAGCATGGGACTTAAATTTCTCTGAAACATAAGCAGACTTTCCTTTCCCCCACAAAAACTTTGAGTAATTGCCATGCAGAAGTAGTAAATAATATATTCAGGAGCTTAATCCACAGTATTTCAGAGCACATGGCACTTTGCTTGTGCTCGTGTCTCATCTTTGAAAAGCTGTGTGAGGAATTAATGTAAGTTATCAGAGTTCTTGAATACACCTGTATCCCTCTGGAAAATGTGTTTCCCAAAATGCCTGGGGGACAGTGACCGTTTGTAGGCTGTGTGCTCACCCCAGCCAGTGGCTCAGCTCCAAGGCACCCAGGACAGGCAAGCACAGAAGTCTTACCCTGTCCTCAGAGCCACAGAAGAGATCCTGCCATGCCCAGGAATCTCTCCTGCTCAGCAAGAGCCA